CAAATTGGGAGCCAATGATCCTATTTCCACACCAAATCCCGCCTTACACACTGAGTCTAGAGTCAATCTTATTAGGAGTTCCTGGAAGGAAAAAGATAACTTAATTTCCTTTTAGCCAAAAAGAAAGCATTTAACTGTAAATTCTTCTCGAGATCATCGAAACATGTTGTCCAGGGCAAATTAAGTGCAGAAAAATTCCACTAGATCATATATCATCAGCCAAATCAATCCTTTGATTGGTAAAAAAATTATTGAACAAAAGCTGTGTCAGACCACAATTACGAAGTATACAATTACAATATGGACAAAAGTAATAAAATTTTAAGTGTCCAGATCAAAATGTCACTAGAGATATAACCCCATCAATACATTATCAATTGGAAAAGACTAAAATTAATCGTCAAACAAATTACACTTTAACCAAGAACTTGAAGTTCATAATTCAACCTAAAAAAAAGCAAATCCTAATATCCTATAGAAGAAAATGTATACAAGCTAACGTCAGCAAACACCACTCATGGACCATAATACCCCCAAGATCAAATTTTGACCACAAGATAAACCACTTCATGTGTTCCAAGATTATCATAACAAAACAGCTTGATCGATAAAATATGCCTTAACTGTTCACTTGAATTCAAATGGTGCCACCATGATGCGATAAATGTGGATAGTTGTACGAGTTAACATGACCTGATGTGCAAAATTAATAAGAGAAGAGGAAGTATTCAAATTCAAATGTTGTTATTTAAATATTTATGTACCTTGTGGATTGAAAATAACATTTGTGGTCGTAGGAGGGATCAAACTAGAAGACATCACTTGTGATGAAAACACGACTCATCCCGTCACCCTACATAAATTTGTTGGTGTTAATACAACTTAAAGTGCTTACAAAAGTGGTATAATTAATATACTAACCAATAGGAGTTGTGAATTTGAGAACGGCATCGGCATGAAATATTGTTGTTGAGGAGGTGGTGAAACGTCGGGTGCACTATCTTCCATACTACTATGCCTCGATGTTGGTCTCTTTCCTTTTGTTTGATTAACTCATACATGCATATACACCATAACGAATATGACATAGTGTATAAAATGAAGTGAACAAAAGAGTAGGACATAAGAATATATACCTTCGCTATTTTAGCGCTCGCCTGCAATGGGCCTTTTCTCCATTTGGTATTCGGCTCCCCCTTTGTCTTCGACAAGTTCGGATCCCTAATGCTCCCGCCTCCTGTCTTGAGATGTAATACACTGCCTAATGGTACTACTACCTGAACTTGACTTTGTCAAACTAATCTCTCTAGTTTGAAGTTCTATCCAAACCTTGATAGCACGATGCTGCCCTTCGTCATCAGCTGCAAGGTCTACCACCCTGGCGAATGCTTGACACATATCGTTATACCTCAATTGTCCAGGAGTATTAACCAACCCATCGTAGTTAACTGCGACCCTCGTATGTGCTTTGCTGATGTCTCTCCTTCATCTCCACAATATGTATCGATCCGGCATTAGAGTCAGATCATTACATATCAACACTGAGATCGCATATCTGCATACTATTCCTCGAAACTTGAACAAGTAACAGCTGCAAATAATTTCACATTTCTCTCTATGAAATGAGACAAGAAATACTTTTTTCTTTCGTCGATTGGCACACAAAACGTCCTCACGTACCTCGTACCTCGTCCCCATATATATCTCTGAAGCAGATATGAGGGCACAATAGACCTTCCCCGTAAATTCACCTTGAACTTTCCTGAACTTCGAAATGGTATACATTGCCTGATATTGGTTTTTCATTTCGTACGTCGTTGCACAAGGTACCATTTGACAGAAAGACTTGAAATCGGCCTGAAATTCTTTTTCAACCTTATTCCGCTGTGCCCGTTTATACTGTTCGACAAACTACTTCAATGATGTCTTCGAATGCACATAACCATCGAAGAAAGTGTTCATACTCTCACTTCTTTGCGTTGTTGACATCTCAGCCCAGAAAGTTGTTTTCAAGAAACACGAAACCCAATGACCTATATTTTCGTACAATCCGACAACCAATCATTATCGTGCAAGTCATACATATCGATCATCACTCTCCAACCATCCTCAAATTCTTCGACGGACTGTGAATCATACAGCAATACGTGTATAGCCAAAAATATTGAAGACTTATCCACGTGGTATCCAAACTTTTTCGGTATCTTTTTCAAAATGTGCCACAAACACTATCTATACTTCGTATTTGGAAAAACTATCTGAATTGCATTTTGCATGGTTTTGTGTTGATCGGTAATTATTCAGTGTGGAGCTTGATCATGCATGCACTGAAACGATGTCCTAAACAACCATACAAATGTATTTGTGTCCTTGTTCGATACCAAACCACAATCGAAGAACGTTGATTGTCCGTGATTATTCACACCAACAAAAATGGCGAATTGCATGTCATACTTATTAGTAAGGTAAGTGGAATCAAATGTGACGTCCCTGAACTCCTTGTATGCTTGTCTGCACCAATTGTCTGCCTAAAAAAATTCTTTAGACGCAAATCTCCATCCAATTCAATACTAAAATAAAATCTTGAGCACCATGCTTGCATTTCAGAAAAGTAAGATTGTATTGCTGCTGCATCACCCTCACCAAATCTTATTCGTCTCACTTGTTCAATATTGTAACAACAATCCCTTTCCACTCAAGTCATATTCTCATAGCCACCTGCTTCAACAACTGCGGAGTTAAAACTTTTGTGCAATTATATTCCTGCCATATCATTCACTTCAAGCTTTCGTTTCATGTGTGCACTTAATTCTTGGTTGTATCGATACAACCTGGACTTAGTAGGACTTGTCTTATGGTTGTGGTCAAGGTGGACTATGTTAATTTTCTAGTAACCATGGATATCTAAACATGCAGAGATTCTAACTTTACAACTTATCTGAATTGTTGGTTACGGCTTCAAATAAGTGCTTGTATTATCGCTTCTTCGTCCCTCCTGACTACATGTCAATGTGACGCACCTCAAAACACAATTATCATCCTTCGTTACACTCCTCTTCTTAATTGGAAAACGTACGGCATAAGCATATCATGCGTAAAAATTATACACTTCTTTTTCATCATTGAATTGCATACCAATCTCAGGCACAGTCAAACCATCTCTTTCTAATGTTGCCTCTTCCACGACATACACATTGTCGTCCACATCCTTATTTTCAGATTCAACAAACTAAACATCTTACATATTCTTTTTTGAAGCAAAACATAAACACTCACCCAATATTTACGTGTTCGAAATGCTATATGTCATCAACTGATATTTACAGCAAAAGTCCATTTTTTATATGGTTAATTAAAATTAACAAATGAGTAAAATAATAAAAATAAAAAGAAATCTTACAATTCGGTAAAAAAGAGATCAATTTAAATAGTGCTCAGAATTTTTTATAGTTCATCACTGAATTAATTGATGCAAAAATCCAATTACCCAATAAGATTTCCAAAATATCTTCTCCAATGCTTCGATTAAAGTAGATGTATGATATTGTACTGAACCGAAAAAATTTTAGCTCAACTTAAACAAAAAAATTTCCTAACCTACAGAACAAAATCAATCATACCTTCTATGTAATGATCGAGTAGTTCCGGTGACGGAGAATATGGGCTGGACTGGTGAAGATGGACTGGTGGTGCAAATCGGACACGACAATGCTGGGTTTCTCGCTACCTTAAATGTTGGATTTTTGCTTTACACTATTTTGGGGAAAATGCTAGGTTCTTATACGAAACACGCCGGATTTCCCCATTTTGGGCTCCACTATTTTGCTCAATAATGTTGGATTTTCATGGCTACAATATTTTGGAAAATTAATGATCTGCTGTGAAGTATTCTGAAACCCATTTTGGCGCCCTAATTTCTGGATATGCTAGGTTCTGTTTTCTTTGTTTTAAAATCACAACCATCCAAACTCATTTCATCTCAACCGTCCACATCACTTTGTCAACTGGCCATGTAACCCACCTTTGTACAAATAGCAATATTGTGTAACAATATCCTAGCACGACAACTAACATCATCACTCATAACGTATGCCATACAATAGAAGATTTTGGTTTCATTAGAGTAGAACTTAAAAGAAAGTTGGAATCAATTTTTATACGACCAACTTTCTAGTAATGTTTGCATCCGAGAAATCTTCTACATGGAATCATGTCGATCCATGATGTTTTCAACATTGAACTCTCCCCGCATAGACATTGAAATCCGAAGATTTCTGCTAAATTTTGCACTTATATATCTTCTCTGCTTTGAGTGACTGCCCATAAGTCAGAATTACTGTAAGGCCCTGTTTGATAGGCTGTTTTTTCTAGGAAAGATAGAAAATAAGTTCCATTTTCCACTTTTTGACATGTTTGATAGGTTAAATTTTCCAGTCAAAACATTTTCTCATTTAACCCTCACGTGACCTATTTTTCACCAAATTGAGGAAAACATTTTCTCTCGTTTCAGCTGGGAATCGATTTTCCCTGCAACTGGAAGAAGGAAACCCTTCTCTCTCGCAAGCTATGCCTGGGGCCGTTTGGGTCTTCCACCACCGCCAGACGGCGGCGACGACAACGACGGAGAATACTCACACGTGGGTCAAGAAGGGGGGAGGGTGAAACCAGGTAGAGCCAAGAGGATTCATGGAAATTTACAATATAATAAATAAAGAAGAGTGGTAATTTAGGTGGAAAATTTGCGGAGTATATTAAATGGGTGCTTTATTGGAGTTGAATATCACTGTTGGAGTCTTGATTGGGACTAGTGATGTAGTTGCTCAGAAGATTTCTGGGGTGAAAAAGCTTCAATTGAGAAGAATACTTCTTTTGATGGTACTCGTAACTTTAAATTTCTCTGGGTGATTCTTAAATATGATTTCTTCTTGAATCAATTGATATGATCACTCGCTGATGTACTTGAGCTTCGACTACTTGGTTTTTCATTGCTCTACCTAAATATGATTTCTTCAAATGAAGTGTCGTCTTCCTCAGTGTCGGATTTCGGAGCCATTCTAGTTTACAAATTCCCACCTGTTAGGACGGTGGGGGAGTTAGTCGGAGGTGGGATTGATGCGGGAAGAATTGGTGGAGAAACTGGAGCTGAAGGTCTGTTCTTCTGCTTTGTATTCAATTGAAGTGATTTGGATGTATCAATTTCCTATTGACTTGAATTGAGTTTAATTATATTGTGAATTGATTTGCTTCAAGCCCCGTTTCTTGTGTATTGTAAGCTCAAATCACGGATTGAAGACCCATGAAGGAGGCTGGGCGGTGGCGGTGTGGATTTTGCTGGTAGCGGAGAGTTGGCTGGGGGAGTTGGACTTGCAGGTGGTGGAGAAGTTGTTAGAGTAGGAGGAGGCTGGGAGGTGTAGGCGGCGTTGATGCTGGAGGATGAACGGATGTTGTCGAAAAATTTTTGTTAAGTTGGATAGTTTAGCACAAATAATCATAATTTTCCACAAAAAACAAAGTCGATCAAACACCAAAAGTTGGAAAATCTCAACATTTTTTAGGTGGAAAATTATATCAATCAAACGCAACTAATTGACAATTTTCCTTGGAATTCATTTTCTTTCCACCCATTTTCCACCCTTACAATCAAACGCACCCTAATTGAAATATGTTAAAAACATTAAATTATGCACTTAAAAATTTCGTCTCCCATTTCTCCTTTTGCATTAATGGACCTGTGTAAGGATGGGTTGTTCCATCCAAAGGCCTTCAACAAGGGTGACCGTTCTCGCCATATCTTATCTTATTGTGTGCAGAGGCGTTGTCTGGATTGATCTATTGTGGGATTTCGATGTGCACATAATAGCCGAGGGTATCTCACCTGTTCTTTGCTAATGATCCCGTTGTTTTTTTATAAGTGTATTCTATACACTTATTAAGGGCCTTAAATAACAACATTTTATAGTTCTTTTGATGAAATATCATTTAATTCATTGTATATTGTGTTTCATAAATAAAACTCATGATTTGATGAAGAATTTGAGAAAATAAGTAGAAATAGATAAGAATGGCGAAATTTAAAATTCAGGGACTAAAATGCAAATAATCAAAAGATGGATTGGATGTAAGAACGAAGATTCAAAAGTTTTAACAGACATCTGGATAGAATAGAAGGCAACAAGACGAAAATGAATAAAGAACTAAAAAATATACATGGAAAAGATCAGAGTCCAATTATGCAAATTGGTCCCAAAAGCAAAAGCCATGCGTAAGCATAGACCTGCAGGCCTTATGTACGCACAACCATCAATACGCCATACGGAGACTAAAATCATTTTACTATGCGATTGCATGAAATATACCGAGCGTACGCATGGCTTTTCAACTGGTAAAGATTTTCTTTCATTTTTATTGCTTCGACTCTTTATGGTATGATATGTTACACCTTTTTAACCTACAAAGAGCTGTTAGAACATACTGGGAAGCTATTATCACTTTCTATCATTGAAATGACGCCGAACAAGAGCTTTAGAGAGAATTAACACAAGGAATTGAAAATTCAAGACTCAAATTAAAGGAAAAGTGCAAGAAATTGATTTCTCAAGCTTCCAAATCTATTCTTTGTATCGAGTGATGTCTTTTCTTAACTTCTTGTGTATTTAGATACAATTATGTTATGCCAAAGTCCTCTTGTGTATTGAATAGATGATGAAACCTTTTGAGTTATATTTTTAACTCTAATTTAAGGCTTATCGTATTTTAATTATTTCTTGTGTTTGTGATTAAATATGCAAGAATATTTAGTTATTTAATTGCTTAGCTACCAATTAGATAACTTGTTGCTTATTCGTAGTGTTGGGAGACTCACAATAAATAGAATACTGCATATTTGACACACAAGCACTAGGTATTAGGAATATTATTTAGGGTGTGTGCAATTGTGTGTTATAATCGTATGATTGAATGCGTGCTTTGCATATGATTTCGGACTAGGAATATGATCAGATCATGTTAAGCATAAGTTTAATATATCTTGAAAAAGAATATTGAATATCAATGAATTATAGATTGTCACGAACACTTGAATAACATTAAATTACATCAACAAAAAATTGGAAGTAGAAGTCAATTGGTAGAGTCGAAAAGCCAATACATTCATCTCCTATTTAATAAAAACCAAATCTTTTATTGCTTTCGTAGTTAAATTAGAATAGCAACAACAAATAAATCTCTTTTGTGTTACAATAGATCGGATTTGATAGTAACTAGTACACTAAAATTGAACTTTATTCCTTGTGAAACGATATTCGTAACTCAATATGTATTACTTGCCAACGATCACTGAACATTTTTTTCTAGGAGTCAGATTGTGTTGATCTAAACAATGTACTTCGGGTTCATCAGGTCGCCTCTGGCCAAAAAATCAGCTTTGACAAGTCTTGCATCACTTTCAATCCTAATGTTAGGGAGGAGACGAGGGACGAAATCAAGCTCTGCTTGGGACTCCAAGCCAATATCCATCATTTCATCTATCTTGGCTTAACAGTGATGGTGGGGAGAAATAATAAGAGGCATTTTCTAAAATTAAAGATGAGGTATATATGGAGGAAGGCCAAAGGGTAGAAACGAAGCTCTGCTGGGGGGCGTGAGGTCTTGATCAAATCAGTGGTCCATGCTATCCCAACTTATTTTATGAATCTATTCCAGTTGCCTCTTATCACTTTGCAGGGATATACAATCAATTATTCGGAAGTTTCGTTGGGATGGTGATACAAAATTAATTGGGTCTGGGGTATGTGGTTTGCCAAAGTAAGTTTGCAGGTGGTTTGGTGTGTTGGAAATATAAATCATATCTAAAACCGAAATCAAATCTAGATGCAAAAATCCTATATTAAAATCACCAAAAGCCTAGGATCTACATCATGCTAGAATATTAGGATTCACATATTCGGGTTATATACCTGGATCCATTATGAACGATTATTAACTGTTGCGGAATTACTACGACAATCGATCACGTACTGATGAACACGAATGAAGGGGTGTGGTTTGTGATCTTCCTCAACCAAATCGTTTTATTTCCTCAATGAGACCGTAGTCTCTCTTCCAGATGGGGAGAAGGGAAAATATGTATGATTTAATGTATTGGGGACTATAACCAAAAGATCTTTTTATATTGTAGAATTAGAGTTTCCATAGTCCCCTATTTATAACAATATTGATATCTACTCAATTAGCCCATATTTATTAAATATGATTGAATTAAATAGGTTGCCATCAAATAGAAAGACCATTGGTTTTCCTAACATGGTGTCCTGAAATTTTGAACTGCTCATGCTTTGGTAGCCAAACAGGCATGGAGGCTGTCACTAAATGGAAATTCTCTTGTATGTCGGCCGTCAGGTGTTAAAACTGCTTATATATACACTGTCACAGGAGCTTGGGATGTAGAAAAGGTGCAGCACTTGTTCCCCCGATTGACAATACTCCTAAGTCCTATCCTCTCTATTCCCCTTGGCAGAGGTTCAGATTGCTATGGATAATAATCAAACGACTGTCTTGCAGAATTTCATAGCAGATGCTGCTGCTCCACCTCAGACCCAAAATGCTCCATCGACCGATCCAGGCTATAACTCATACACGTCCCATGGTTTGGTATACTCATCTCCCCCTTCCAATCCTAATCTTTCTCAGCAAACCGGGCATTAGGGCTCAGTCTATGGGGCAACTATGGTTATAAAGTTGGGTGATAGTGTGAGGCTATGAGAGTTAATTGGTGACTGGCGACGAACAAAGTCACCCTTCTACGAGTATGCAGTATTATATTTTTCCATTCAGGAAACTTGTGAACAAAACATTAAATTTACATCTTGCAGCAGGGCCAATTGGTTACTGTTGTTGTTTTCAAATTGTGAGGCTGTCAGTAGTATAAACTATTCTCCATGTACTGCAAGAACTTGTTAATCTTCATATATTAGACTCGTATAGATAGCTTATGATGCTATTAAAGCATGACCGTTATGCAGTATTAGACTGAACTGGATAGTCCGCTTAAAATCTTGTTTTCCTTATACTAATGTTTATTATTTTGTAACTTACCTTATCAAACATGCACTTGGTCCATATATCAACATGATTCTGTTATGGAACCTTGAGTTATTGACATAGGTGGAGCTCCTAGAGTTCTTGCAAAATCTCATTGAAACGAGGGAAATAATTATAAAAGGTACAAATAAATTACACTTGAAAGTTGAAACATTACATACATACTAACAAATAAAAAAGAATAGAAACTTTTTCCAATTCATCAGAATTCAGATCTACATCTACTCAAATGGATAAGCCAGCCAACATGATCTTCACAAAGGTTTTTGCATGAACAAGGCATTTCCAGGTTCATTTCATTTCGTTGTTCTGTATTTTGTACCACCCCCCTTGCCGAAGAAATAGGAAATACTAAATAAATTAAAAATAGAACAATAATCTCACTAAGAAATCTAGGAATTATTGGGGGGAAACCATGAGGTTAATAATCCATTATTGCATTATCAAGCCAAATACAGGATGCAACTTATCATAAGCTTAATAGCATGATGTCATGGACAAGAATTACACTACTGACTTGCAACCTCAACTAACATGAAATCTGTATATAATAAATAGATCCTAAGAAAACCTCTGCACAGACGAAGGGCTTACTCTACCTTTATTACACTGTATATTGCTAGAATGAGGACTCAGATTGGTGCTGCACATGTGGTCCTGAAATGGCCTGTCTGATTGCAACGACTACAATGTACAACTCTCTTCATACGACCATGATCTTCTGCTCTGACTCGCTTCTTCCTTGGTCGGCCTGGTGGACGCAGTGATTTAGGTGGATTGACAACAATCTTGGCAGCTTTGCTAACATTTGGATCTCCCTCAGCTAACTCCTTCCACGATGTTTTATCTGGAATCGGGTGTATGGTTTGTGAGTATGTCTTCCGATATGTAGCAACAGTAAAACAGCTCTCGGTGAATCGATGGACATTCTGCCTGCACGAAAGTAGAGCTGCAACAGCATGTGCACAGGGTAAACCGTACAACTGCCATCCCCGGCAAAGACAGCAGCGATTTCGGATATCAACAATGTTTGTCCCCTCGTGGGATATTACCTCAAATTCAGCTTCATTGGCACGGAGAACCTGGTAGGTACGTGCACGCTCAATAGCCTCTGCAACGCACCTCTCAGCTGTAGGCACTAGAATAGACGTCCACTGTATACTAGTCTCACGACGTTCATTGAACCAAGTCATGAGCTGCCTTCGAATGCATTCCATCATCTGAATTATTGGAAGACTGGAGGCTTCTAACATCCAAGCATTCACAGATTCTACTATATTAGCCGTCAAATGTCCAAACCTTGTCCCCTCAAAATAGGCAGTAGCCCATAAATGAGGGGGGATTCGCCTAATCCAGTATGCAGCATCTTGAGATATCTCTTCAATCTCTAAAACTTTTGCTTCAAAATCAATGACAGTAAGAGCATGTGCAGCATCCCACAAAAGGTTGACCAGCATTGTATTGTTGAATTCCTTACGAAAGCTTTCACTCAAATGACGCATGCAAAAGCCATGGAAAGCAGTGGGGAAATTTGCTTCCACGCCATCTATGATGCCCTTCTGCCTGTCTGACAAAATTGTAAGCCTTGGCATGTTCTCTGTATTTACCTCAAGCAGGTTATGAAGTTCAGAGAGAAACCACATCCAGTTGTCGTCATTCTCCTCGTCGACAACACCAAAAGCCAAAGGAAAAAGGCCACCGTCCCCATCAAATCCAGTAGCCAGAAGCAAAGTACCAAGATATTTACTCTTCAAGAATGTCCTATCAAGCCCAAGTAGTGGACGACAAGCATTCAGAAAACCATAGATGGATGCCTGGAAAGAAATAAAGAGGCGCTGGAAGCAATTGTCATTCGGATTTCCATAAACAGATGCAATACTTCCTGGGTTTGTCCGTTTTACTTGCTCACAGTATTGTGGGAGGAGACGATAGTCTTCTTCAAAGGATCCACGCATAGCAGCCATAATACGTTCCTTTCCACGCCAGGCTTGCTTGTATGACAAAGCAATACCATGAACTCGATGAATTTCCTCCAAGATCTCTTTTGGCTTGTAATTGGGGTTTTCAAGAAGCTGTTGCTCTACAGAATTGGCAACCCACTGAACTGAGGCTTGCTGATGGCCAAGATGAGTGATTCCTCCACATGTATGGTTGTCATTTATGGTCCTGATTGTGAAAGTGGGCATACCAGGAAGCTTCGCAGCGTGAATGCGCCAGGGGCATCCCTCATTGGCACATTTAGCAGTAAAGCGAGTTTTATCTGATTTTATGGTTTGCATTTCAAAGTGAAGGGCAATAGCTGTGTCCCTCAAAGCCCTTCTACAAGCTTTGACATCAGGAAATTCTTGTCCCACATGAAGCTCATAATTAGAGTTCACAGCAAGAGTACGTTCTTGAAGAACATGATTGGGAGTAACTACTAGAGGGCCATGCTGAACACTCATATCATGCATCGTTTCAATACCCAAGTCCTGCTGGATAACTGCTAATTCCATGTTCTCGTCAAGTTCCTGGTTCCCAGACACAACCAATTCATTGTGCTCGGACATACCTAACTCATTGCTCTGTGTAGGTAAAGATGCATGGCCTTCATCTTCAGGCTTCTGCTCCAACAATACCCCACTCTCGTGTTCATATCCATGATCATCATTGCCCTCCATATCATGGCTCCTCCCCATACCTGCTTCGTGGTCATGAGTTTGGCCCATCTCCAAGCCATGGTTTTGAGCCATAACCACATTGTGATTATGACTAATCTGGTTCTGACCAAGAGGTACACTGTGGTTCTGTCCAAACATTAAATCGTGGTCCACCATTTTCCTCTCAATCTTGAAATAATTGCCTTAATTCACAATGTAATATTATCAAAGCATTAGGAAACAATCTAACAAATTTTATAGTAAAAAAATTATCAAAGACATAACATATTAAAAGCCTGTTTGATCCCCATTTTTTTGTTCAAATGCATTTTAGAATCGTGATTTGATGGGTAATGTGGGGTTAAAAAATAAGGAAAAATTTTGGATTTGCGTGTAATATTATTTTATTGAAGAATGTGCAGTTGAAAATAAGATTTTCAATATATATGAAATAGAAGCATAACAAGAGCCACGTACTTCTACAACAGTAGAACTCCGCACAGCATACATAACATATTAGGTCAAACAAGTTAAGTGAACACGTATGTTATCTTCACCAATCAATATAACCCCAACAACTGGCAAGTGGCAAGCAATGCATTAATGATAACAAATAACATTTTACTCGTAACGACGGAAATCGATATAGAACAGTTCCCTATAACACAAATAATTTTCAATACACGGAGAGAAGTATAATAAGCATCACGTACTTATACAGCAGTAAAACTCCGCACAAAAACATAACATATGAAGTCAAACATTTTAAGTTAGCAAGGACATTTGATTTGCTCTGCAATCAATAGAACTCAAATAAACCGCAAGCAATGCATTAATGGAGCAAGTACCATCTTTTTCATAATGACTTTAAACTCCAGGTGGAATTCAATATAGAACCACCATTTTCCTGCAAACATAATAATTTTTCAATACACACAAAACAGAAGCAACAAGCTTATGGACTTCTACAACAGTAAAACTCCGGACAGCAAAATAAGTTTAATATTTTTAGGTTATCGCTGATATTTGCGATGCTTTGCCAATCAATAGAACTCTAACAGATGGCAATCAATGCATTAATGGAAACAAATAACATTTTGTTCATATGATGTTAATTACTATACTGGTGTGGAAATCAATGTAGAACCACCATTTCCCACAAACACGTACAATTTTCAGTACACATGAAACAGAAGCATAGCAAGTACTTCTACAACAGTAGAACTTCACACAGTAAAGGTAAACATTTTACTTTGCTTATAGAACCACCATTTTCCCTGCAAACAAACAATTTCAATAAGCATGAAACAGAAGCATAACAAACGTCGCGTACTTCTACAACAGTAGAACTCCGTACAGCAAATATAACATGTTAAGTCAAACATTTTAAGTTAACAACAAGGATAGTTACTTTGCCTTTCTGATTAATAGAGCCAGCAAGCAGCAAGCAATGCATTAGTGGAAAAAAAATAAAAAATCTTTTTCGTAATGACTTCAATTGCTATGCTGGCGTGGAAATCAATATGGAATCACGTTTTTTTCCTCAAAAGTCAATTGATTTAAGTTAACATAACTATTTTCTTTTCTTTGCCAACCAATAGAACTTTAACAAACGGCAAGCAATGGATTTATGGAAGCCAAAAACATCTTTTTCATAATGACTTTAATCGATATGCTGTCGTGGAAATCAATATAGAACCACCAATTTCCCGCAAACACAAACAATGTTCTGTGTTCAATACACACGAAATAGAAGCATAAAGCATCACATACTTCTACAACAGTAACACTTCCCCACAGCGTATAAAGACAAATTTCTACAAACAACTAGAATCAATTACAACTCACATGTTTCAAGAAAGTCAAACCCCATCAATCAAAAAACACAATAATCAAGAAACCCATTTAGCAGGTAAGCAAATAACCTCCAGAATTTCAATTCAAAATACAAAGAAAATGAATAAA